ATTTATAAATAAATAACCAAAGGGGTGAATAGTTGGAATTGCTTTCATTACTCCCAACTTCCCACTTCCCACATTGGATACTCACTAGAATATCATATTATTTGCAATCTATAAATAGGTGGGCCAAAAATTAGATAAAAACTATCTTAGACTTTTAATTTTAGAGCTTAGATGTTGATTAATATAAAAATTTTATTTCTTTAATTTCTTTAATTTGAGATTATCAGATGTAATATTCAATAACATAACAAATCAAATATGGATTTGACAATTAAATATTTATTGGATTATCAGATTTGATAATTATTCATATCGAATCAGATGGAATATAGCGCATATCCGATTCATTTACAGTCCTACTTCTTTTAAACACACATTTTTCAAAAAATCAATTCTCACTAAACCAATATTAATGAAAATAAAATTCTACCAGCACTCTAATAGTAAATACTACTAAACTTTTCTTACTTCAAAATTAATATATACAAATACGGTAGAAAAATTCATAAATTATTTATTTATCGATAAATTAATATTTTTTAAAGCATTAACTTTTCTCAGTTCAAATGTATTAATTTATAAAATTTTACTGCTAAAAATAACTCGATTTTTATGTATAACTAATAATCCTTATTCTCAATCCACGTCTCTTTGGTTTCTTCCTCTAAACCTCTGCCTAAAGCCCTCTCCTCACGAGCTCTAAAATGCCATTGATGTCCATTATTTCCAAGTCCAGAAGCCCTCTCCTTGCCTGCGTATTCATCCTTACCAAACAACACCTTTCCTCTACGAAAAACCTCATTATTCCAAAACCATTCTTAGCCTTTCCTTCACCACCCGCGAGTACTAATCCACAACAATTTGGTCGGGAATGGATCCGAACCTACCACGACGGGAGGCCCAGAGGGCCTCTCTGGAGGGGCAAGAAACTTATTGGAAAAGAGGCCATTTTTGTTATATTGGGTTTGAAGAGATTCAAAGACGATAGGGAAAAGCTCGGGAAATTCGTTAAAACCCATGTGCGCAGGCTTCTTAAATTGGATATGATAGCTGTTCTCAATGAACTCGAACGTCAACAGGAAGTTTCTCTTGCTGTCGAGGTAATTGATTAGTAATTAAAATGGTAGAAATAAGTTGTTGGTTTTTCTTGCACTTTTTGCTCATGTTTTTATAACTTGCCTGTATGATGCCAGTGACAACATGATCTTGATGCCAAAACAAGTGGTGCGTTGAATTTTATACCTTGTTCTTTAGTATCAATCCTCTGTGGTGTTCTTAGCTGAATTGATTCGATTATTAGTGAAGTTACTGTTTGAACATTACTGTGTTCTTTCCCTAACGGATTATGGATATGTGTGCTAATGTACTGCTGAATCATTCCATGCTTCATTAGTCATAATGTTGTACTCTTTTATGGGCAAGTAGAGATTTTACTAAATCGAATTCTGGGAATAGAGTGGTTTAAATGTTAGCATTTTGTGCAAGTAGTCATTAACTGGATTTTTGGAACTTGGAAGCAGACTAAAAAGCTGAATAATTTCTCAGGTTTAGGAAGAGTAGAGGATAATAACTTTAAACTAAAAGGGATATAGATAAGCTTCTTCTTTCCATTGTTTTTCCATTGTCAAAGCACCCGTAGTGGTTGCACGATCTTGTGTATGAAACATCAGTAAATCATAGCCAAGTATATATAATGGGCTACTAAGCATTAAGCTTCTATTCACCAGAGTCGAAGTTGAGTTGCTTAAGAATCTTTACATTGCTCGTTACCGAAGCAAGGCTCCACAGTAGCAAAGCACCACTACACCCTCTTGGTGCAATTGCTAATGAGAGTTTATCTCGCAAAGAAAGATATTAGTATGCACACTGCAATAAATTCATTTGAAAACTTATTTTTTTTCTCAAATACTTTTATATTAATCACCAATTCCAAAATTTTATTAATTATTATTTGTTATTGACTTAAAAAAATATTATGCTCTTTCTCATTTCGAATAGAACAGCTTCCTTTCAATTCCAAAAGGAGTTTACTTTACCTCTGTGGAATTTGAGGCTAGGTCTCGAAGCTTGTTATGCTAAAAGCAACAGGATTTTTGAAAGTCTTCTGGATGATATCTAACAGCAATTAGTCTTTGATAAATATGAAAGAGCTCCGACTGAACTACTGAAGAATGTTTAGAATATAAAACATCACTAATTGACTGGAGCCATTGTAAAATTGTTGAGTAATTGAAAGACTTTGAAACCTTTGAACATCCTGTCAGGAAATTCAAAGCTCCTCTTATGTACTGTATGGAAGTGTTTCTATATATGGATTGACACTCACGAAAATGCTTTCAAAAGTTTATGTTGCTCGAATTAAAGAACTATGTAGAAAAGAATAACGGAAAAAAAATTAGCTGTTTCGTTGAACAGAAACTTTGTGAAAAATGGGAAATATAAATAAAATCCTAAAAACTCTTGAAATAACTGTAGCACAGTTTAAAGACTAAAAGCATGTTTCGGAGTTGTTTATTATTGATTTTAAATTATAAATAGATAGAAATGAGTGGCCGGTAATTGGTTAGTACTTGTAGGTCCGATGTCGATAAAAAGTGGTTCGACCGATCATAAACAGGTGCCAAACAAGGGCTAAAATTGTAACTGAAGTATTGTTATGCAAAATTTAAGTTTCTAATATATCTTCGACCTTTTTTTTTTTGTCTTCGATAAATTTCACCACACGAAGACTTTATTTAGGAAGACGAAAATCATATTAGAAGTGGGAGAAATGGGTTCTTATAAGAGTGCGAATGTGGGTGTTATTATTTGGTTCAGTTTGTGGACAAGGGTTATGATTCAGTGTATGGATTTTTTTCTCGTTCTTTCGCACTTATGACAGAAAAATACACTCAGAGAATATAGAGAAGGCTCTGTTGATTCTACTTGTATATAAAAGGAATGGTTTCTGATTCATACAAATAAATCTGACCATCTACAATATTAAATACATAGTGACCTATACATATATAAATATATACAAGTAACAAACTAGGCTCAGTATCTTTTCCTCTCTCCTTAAGGTTTATACAGCTCAATGATTCTTCAATCTTCACGGTGGAGACTGTGCCAGCTTGGACGAATCTGTTGAGGCTGTTACAGAGAAGAAAGGTCTAGAACCTCAGCCCATGTGCAAGTTATATGTTCTTCATTTTCAGTCCCTGCTTGAGTATCTTTCAAATATTGGCCCCTGATGTTTTCTTCTTTAACACCTCCCCTCAAACTGGAAGTGGTTTTAAACACTCCTAGTTTGTCACAAAGATACTTATGCCGTGAGTGATTTAGAGGTTTAGTCAGTATGTCGGCTACCTGGTCTGCTGTAGGAACATATTGAATTATGAGTTGTTTTTCAAGTACCTTGTCACGAACAAAATGCACATCAAGTTCTATGTGTTTTGTTCGTGCATGATACACTGGGTTCGAAGCTAGAGCACTTGCTCCCAAGTTGTCACACCAAACCTTTGGAATCCCTGCCTGTGGTATGTTCAGTTCTTGTAGGATCGATTGCACCCAAGTTATTTCAGCTGTGGTATGAGCCAATGCCCTATATTCCGCCTCAGTACTGGATCTCGCCACCACTGGTTGTTTCTTAGAAGACCATGAGATCAAACTTTCACCTAAATAAACACAATATCCCATGGTTGATCTCCTATCATCTGGGCAGCCTGCCCAATCTGCATCCCCAAATGCATTGATACTGAGTTCCTGAGTTCCTTGAATAATTAAGCCAAGATCAAGTGTTCCTTTTATATATCTAAACAGCCTTTTCAGTAGATTCCAGTGTACATCTGTCGGATTCTGTAAGAACTGGCTCACTCTGTTGACAGCAAAGGTAATGTCCGGTCGTGTATGAGTTAGATATTGTAGTGCACCTACTGCACTTCTGAACTGAGAGGGATTTTGTAGACTGATTCCTTCATCCTTAGCTACAAGTTTCCCTGTTGCCATGGGTGTAGCACTAGGTTTTAGATGTTCAAAGCCAAACCTTTTTAGAATCTCCTCTGCATAACTTTTCTGTGACATATGTAGGCCAACCTCATTTCTGTAAAAATCAATGCCTAAGAATTTCTTTAGATTACCCATGTCCTTTAGTGTGAAGGATTTATTCAGCTTATCAATGATTTCTTGCAGCCTTGCTTTTGAGTTTCCAGTAACTATAATATCATCGACATAAATTAGTAGAAAGATCATTTGATCTTTAGATGTTTGGTAGAAGACTGAGTTATCAGCTTTCGACTGTTTGAATTCCCAGCCTAGCAAAGTCATTCTCAAGGTATTATGCCAAGCTCTAGGAGCTTGTTTCAAGCCATACAAGGCTTTGTTGAGCTTGCACACATGTGAAGGTTTGTCTTGATCCACAAATCCCTGTGGCTGCTCTAGGTAGACTATTTCCTCAAGCTTTCCATTAAGGAAAGCATTATTGATATCTATTTGTCTAATCACCCAGCCTCTTGAGATGGCAAATGTGAGGATTATTTTCAAAGTTGGAGCCTTAGCCACTGGACTGAACGTCTCATAATAATCGATCCCTGGAGTTTGTGAGAAGCCCTTCGCAACCAATCTCGCCTTGTGCCTTATTACTTTTCCCTCTGAATTGGTCTTGTTTTTGAACACCCACTTGCTTCCAATGATTTTCATACCGACTTCAAATGGTACCAATGTCCAGGTTTGATTCTCCATTAGAGCATTATACTCTTCGCTCATTGCTTTCCTCCAACTTTCATCTCCTAGAGCTTCGGTGACATTAGTTGGTTCTGTTTTTTCTAATGAGTTTGAGATGCCTGCAGCATAGACTTTTGGCTTGAAGATCCCATCTTTTGCTCTAGTAACCATGTGATGTCCATTGTCTTTCACAGTATCAACAATACCTGCCTCATCAGATTCATTCACTTCCTGATTTGTATTATCATTTTCATAGGCTACTTCTGGCATAAAATCATTTTCCACATCCTGTGTCATTTGTCTGTTCAACTCAATATCATTATCCACTCTTCTTAGCTCTTCACTGTCTGCACTTTCAGAGGAAGTCTCTGCTGCAGGGGTAGCCAAAGGATGTACCATACCAGTTGAGGAATTGTTTGGATATTGGAAGCTTAAGTCAAAAGGTAATTGATGTAGAGTTATGGGTTGAAGCTTGGGTGATATAGTTTTGTCTAGAAAACCTTTTTCAAATGGAAATTGATTTTCATCAAACACAACATGTCTGGATATATATATTCTGCCAAGGGGGTTCAAACATTTGTATCCTTTATGAGATGCACTAGGTCCGAGGTAAACACATTTTTGAGTGTGGAAATCAAACTTGTGCTTTTGGTAAGGTCTTAGACATGGGTAACAGGCACATCCAAACACTTTAAGAGTTTGGTAATCAACTTGCTGTTTAAACAGGAGTTCAAATGGTGTTTTGTTTTTAAGAATTGGTGTAGGCATCCTATTGATGAGATAGGTGGCTGTAAGGAAGGCCTCCCACCAATAAAATAATGGCATGTGTGCTTGTGCTAGTATTGTTAGTCCTATTTCAGTGATATGCCTGTGTTTCCTCTCAGCACGGCCATTTTGTGGGGATGTATAAGGACAGGAGAGTTTTAACTCAATACCACAATCTGAGGCCAAACTATTTAATACTCTGTATTCCCCCCCTGAATCAGATTGTATAGCCTTTATTTTCCTATCAAACTGGTTCTCAACAAGTTTTTTAAAGGTTATAAAGGACTGCAGAACTTCTGATTTGTGTTTGAGGGGATAGATCCAAGTGAACCTAGTGCAATCATCAATAAATGATACATAAAACCTGAACCCTGATGTAGAGTTAATAGGTGAGGGGCCCCAAACATCGGTATGGATTAGATCAAGAGGTTTGAGAGCATGTTTTGATGACACGTTGAATGGTAAAGCATGTGATTTACCGTATTGACAAGATTCACAAAATGGAAGTTCTTTGCTATTAAGCTTGGAATTATTACAAGATTTAAACACTTGACTCATTACAGAAATATTAGGATGTCCTAATCTTCTGTGCCACTTTTCAACTTCTGACTGGACTCTTACAGGCTTAGGCATTTGGTTTACACAGGAGTTGAGACTGAATTTCAGGTTGCTGGCTGTTTGATAGATGTCTGGTCTTGTGTCTGTTGGTCTGGTATTCGGATTCAACTGGTATAGTCCATCACTTAGCCTCCCTTGCATTAGAGTCTTCCTTGATTGCAGATCCTTCACAGCACAAGAGTTAGGGAAAAATTCAACAGAAACTTTGTTATCACTGGTTAACTTTGAGACACTGATGAGATTTTTTTTGATCCTAGGTACATGCAGCAATTCCTTTAATGTTAACGATTTTTCATGATCAATATTAAAGGATTTAGAACCAATATGAGAGATTTGTAAGGGTGTACCATTCCCAACAACCATTTTCTTCTTACCTCCATATTCTCTAGCTTCTGTGATGTTCTCCTTGTTTGAAGTAGTGTGGTGACTTGCTCCTGAATCGACATACCAGGCAGCATCTTCTATAGTGTGTGGATTAGCTATATAGGCAGAGGGCTGTGAACTCTGTGTATTGAATCTGTTACTCATTTGTTGATCATCATATCGGTTAAAACACCACTTAGCAGAGTGGTTGTTCATTCCACATATTTGGCATGGATTTCGTGGTTCATTTGCTCTTCCAGGCCTCCCCCTACCTCTGAACCTTCCTCTGTAGCTAGGACTTCTTCCTCCTCTATTACTCCTTCCACTAAAAGAATTCATCCTCTGAGAATTACTTTGAGTCAGATTAACAGAACCAAAGCTGTTTCTGATTTGATTTAGATACTCCATTCGGCTTTCAAAGGTCATGAGTATTGATGATAACTCATGCCATGTTACCTGGTCTCTGCCATTCACTTGAACCACAATCGGTGTGTACTCCTCATCAAGGCCTGTGAGTACTTGATTGACTAAATCACCATGCTCAATTTTTTTTCCAGCCACTTCCAAATTATCAGCCAACTGTTTGATTGTGTTTAAGTACTGATCCATGGACATGGATCCTTTCCTTGTTCTTTGTAACTCAGCAGTTAAGAAGGTTACTCTCGACTTGTTGAGAATACCAAAATTCTCGTTGATTGCTTTCCACAGTTCACTGGACGTTTCACAGCCCATCACTCTCATGATTATCTCTGATGACATCGAAGAATATAGCCAACCCATTAGTAGTTGGTCCACGGAAATCCACCTGCTATATTCAGGATTTGGCACCCTTTCCAGTGTTATACCAGACTCAGTGTTTGTTTGAGTGCTGATGATCTCAGCTGGGCATTCTTTTGTACCCAGCAAATAGCCTTCCAGATTGTGCCCTCTCACGATCGGCATTATGATGTTTTTCCAGAGGAGAAAATTGTTCTTATCTAACTTAACAGAGGGGACTTGAGTTAGATTCATTCCAAAAGGAGTAATGTTGTTCGGAAGGACAGAAGTTTGAGAGGTGGAGCTAGAGTCCGAGCTAGGATTAGAGTTGATGGTGGTCATTTTCTGATGCTCTGATACCAAGAAAAATACACTCAGAGAATATAGAGAAGGCTCTGTTGATTCTACTTGTATATAAAAGGAATGGTTTCTGATTCATACAAATAAATCTGACCATCTACAATATTAAATACATAGTGACCTATACATATATAAATATATACAAGTAACAAACTAGGCTCAGTATCTTTTCCTCTCTCCTTAAGGTTTATACAGCTCAATGATTCTTCAATCTTCACGGTGGAGACTGTGCCAGCTTGGACGAATCTGTTGAGGCTGTTACAGAGAAGAAAGGTCTAGAACCTCAGCCCATGTGCAAGTTATATGTTCTTCATTTTCAGTCCCTGCTTGAGTATCTTTCAAATATTGGCCCCTGATGTTTTCTTCTTTAACAATGGAAGCACGGAATCGTTTCGCTGCATTTTCACTTGGCTTAACTTCATTCATTTTCTCCCATTTTAACGATGGCGGATCACGGGAAGCTCAAATCGGACATTTCATTCGCCGGAATTTTTGCTAGCAGTGCTTTCGCTGCTTGCTTCGCTGAGGTACACTCCATTTTTTTCCCTTCTTTTAACAGTTTTTCGAATTCTGACATTACTGAATTTCAACTTTTGTTTTGAGAAGTTTGTGGGTATTCGATTTTCGTTTAATCGTTTTATGAAAAGTTATTGCATAAATTCTCAGAAGCTGTCGTAATTTTGGTCTTCCTACCTCTCTTAACGAGTTCTGCCGGTGTTCCAGTGCCGAAATCTCCTTGTTTTGGCCATTTTCTCATAACAGTAACTTTGTCTATTGCATATTCTGGCTTGTGAGTTGACCTGCTTTGTTGAATGTGCAAATTTTCGGAATTAGATATGTACGATTCCCCTGGATACGGCCAAGGTCAGGCTTCAGTTGCAGAAGAAAGATGTTGCAGGGGATGCGTTAGCTTTGCCAAAATATAAGGGATTGTTGGGTACAGTTGGCACTATTGCAAGGGAAGAAGGGTTAACCGCGCTATGGAAAGGCATCGTGCCAGGGTTACATCGTCAATGCTTATATGGAGGGTTAAGGATCGGGTTATATGAGCCTGTAAGTTTTACATGAATTTGCGGAAGTCCATCATCTGTGTGTTGCTTCACTGGGTTTTCGACTTCAAAACATTCTCGTACTTGACAGGTTAAAACCTTCTATGTGGGACAAGATCACGTCGGAGATGCGCCATTGTCAAAGAAGATACTTGCTGCACTAACAACTGGTGAGAACTTCTTTTTTTTGGTACTTTTTAGGTCTGAAAAATGAGTAGATATGGACGTCTACAACATCTTCTGTAGATAAGATAGGCGGGTTCTTGAACTGTCAATCTTTAGTTACTTCCTATTTTTGCAACATTAACTGTTCAATTCTTTATCAAATAGGTGCTGTTGCCATTACAGTGGCCAATCCTACTGATCTTGTCAAAGTAAGACTCCAAGCTGAGGGTAAACTGCCTCCGGGCGTGCCAAGGCAATATTCTGGAGCACTAAATGCTTACTCTACAATAGTGAGACAGGTCATTCCTTGCCTTCATTCGCCTCGTACTCCTTTTCAGAAAAACGAGCATCCTATTAACTTGTTCCCCAACTTTTTTTCTTTTTTGGAAATTTAGGAAGGAATAGCAGCTTTGTGGACTGGTCTTGGACCTAATGTTGCACGCAATGCCATCATAAATGCTGCTGAATTAGCCAGTTATGATCAAGTGAAGCAGGTAAGTTCAATATTGAACACTTCATTGGCTTTCTACTTTCTCGTCGTTTCATTTTCATTTGAAATTGTCATGTTTCCTTTCATAACTGCCTTGCAGACAATTCTGAAAATCCCAGGATTCACAGACAATGTTTTCACGCATCTTTTATCCGATTTAGGAGCTGGTTTATTCGCAGTCTGCATAGGCTCCCCAGTTGACGTGGTATCTTATTCATTCACAGCACTATAAATTCAGTGCCTATACAGTTTTTCTCCATCTTGGCGACTTGTTTTTCTTGTATCTTTGAGGGGGAAGGGGAGAAGAAATGTATAGTTTTTTTTTTTGTTTTTTTTTCCCCGGTTGTGCTCCCTTGCAGTTGATCTAACTCAAAAATGGTTCTCAATGGCAGGTCAAGTCAAGGATGATGGGAGATTCTGCATACAAAAATACACTAGATTGTTTCATCAAGACTTTGAAGAATGATGTGAGTTATGAGATACTTCTGGTGCATATAGCTTGTACCTGCTAACATATTAACCGAAAGAAATAACGTTTTTCGCCTGAATTTGTCTTCATATGTGCACAGTGCACTATATGTACAACTGATGGTACTAGATCCGATCAGCTGTAGTGCTTGGCTTTGAGATGCATCTAAATTGTTGATTATCATGTTTTGCAGGGACCTTTAGCCTTCTACAAAGGCTTAATCCCCAACTTCGGACGGCTAGGATCTTGGAATGCGATCATGTTTCTAACTCTCGAGCAGGTATGTATTCCGTGTATCCTTCCTGTGAGAATCAAGCATTTACTACGTACAACCTATCGGCACTTCTTTATACCTTAAAGAGGCTTGATCTTGCGCATCGGCTTCAGTAAATCAACAGAATGCAGGCCTAACGTCAACTCGAATTCTTATTGCAGGCTAAGAAGTTTGTTAAAAGCTTAGAGTCATCTTGAAGTGGGACAGAGAACCAAACCAAATTGTAGTGTACATGACACGAGAAAACCAACAAATCTAGTTCATTGCACTATACTCGAATCTACTTTGATGTCATGAGATTTTATGTGAAAGGCAATAAAACCCTCCGAAATAATTGTTGTAATTTTCCGCGGCGAATATTGTTAACTTGCTAGAGGAGAATTGCTGAGGGCACGTTACAAATATGAAAGCCTTCATTCAGATTTAATTTTCTTAAATATGTTTTGAATTATATAAAATAACATATTCATGAATTGTGACTCTGTTTGTGGGTTGAAGAAAGTAAATATCAACTTATTTTAGGCTCTGTTTGACGGCCTTAGTTTTCCATGGAAAAGGAAAACATTTTCCTTTTCCACCCTTAAAAAGCTGTTTGATAGGTAAATTTTTCCATGGAAAACGTTTTCCAC